CAAAAGTCCCCTGGCCCTTGGAATGTCTGGAGCCCCCTCACCCTCGTCTCAGCCTAGGAGGTGACTGACAACTTTCATTCCCATCTCCGCTCCTCACCCCCACTCCCAAGGTGGTTTTGTGGGTATAAAAAGGTCTTGTCACTCTTCTTCCTCTGCCACGCGTTGGAGAGACGTGAGTCCTCCGTGGTCGCCGGCAATAAACCCTGCAAGTTGGCATCCTTTTGTTCTGGTGCTGACTTTCTGTGCTGAGTTCAATGCAACAATACCATACAGTCTTGACTTGCAGTTCAATGTATACCTTATTTGACATAAAATACTGTCAGCAAGTCTAATGGAACATCCCACCAGAGTGGGAAGCCCATCTCCAAGATGGAACGGTGAGCTGTTAAAGCTGGCCCCTGCCCTCAGGGCAGCTTTCTTTGATGCTGCTTGTGACAAGTCAACGTCCCCATCGTGTACCAGCGGAGCCCGTTCTGCCCAGCGCTACCACTTGTTTAGGATGGAGTGGCCTCTTTCTTCAGGTCTGCATTGGACGTCATCCAAGTGAATTGCTTCTTTCTCTTTCCTGTTTATTTGTTCTAGGGTGTCATCTCTTAGCTATCTGAGCACTGGGCTGGCTGCCAAAAACAGAGGTGATGATGTAACATGCCAACTCTCATGTGGCCCAGAGGGGGAGGACCCCATGACTCCAGGATGGGGCAGGGCAGCCATGTCTCATCAAGGTGACACTAGGGGTTCTGAGAGAGCATCTGAGTGGGGAATGGGGGGAGGGCCAACATGATGGAGGGGTCAGTGATACACCCCCGCCCCCATAAAGCAAGGATTTCTGCTTTGAAATTCCTCTACTAGAAGCTAATTCTTCTGCTCTGTTTTCTTTCTCAGGAAGTGTGTGTGTGTGTGTGTGTGTGTGTGAGTGTGTGTGTGTGTTTTGACAGTTCTTTCTTTAAAAGTGTTACATACTCATTGTAGAAAAATTTAAAAATTCAGAGGCAATAAGTCATTAAGATCAATCAAAAACTATATGCATATAATTACTATTTAAACCTGAGGGATGTGTGTGTGTGTGTGTGTGTGTGTGTGTGTGCGCGCGCGCACAGGTATGTGTAGAGACAGAATTTTATTTATTTTCTTTGGTTTTTTTTTTGAGATGACATCTTGCTCTGGAGTGCAGTGGCACAATCTTGGTTCACTGCCACCTCCCTCTGCCTCCTGGGTTCAACTGATTCTCCTGCCTCATCCTTCAGAGTAGCTGGGACTACAGGCACCCACCACCATGCCTGGCTGATTTTCATATTTTTTGTAGAGACGAGGTTTCACCATGTTGGCCGGGCTGGTCTTGAACTCCTGATCTCAGGTGAGCCACCATGCCTGGGCTTATTTTATTTTTAAAAACTGGTATTATGTAAAACACACATTTTCACTGCTTTAAAAAAATTCGTCATATGGTGAAGACATTTTCTTCCCAGTATATATCAATCTATATCATCATTACATGGGTCTGTCAAAATTTGTTTAAATAAAGAAATTATTGAGTTTCCAGATTTATGCTTGGGTGAACATGTTTGAAGTTAATTTTTTTTTCTTTTCTTTTTTTTTTTGAGACATGGTCTCACTCCGTCATCCAGCCTAGAGTGCAGTGGTGCAATCATGCAGCTCACTGCAGCTGTGACCTCTGGGGCTCAAGTGATCCTCCCATCTCAGCCTCCTGAGTAGCTGGGACTGCAGGCACATGACACTACTCCCAGTTATTTTTTTATTTTTATTTTTTGTATTTTTTGATGTTGCCAGGCTGGTCTTGAATTCTTGGACTCAAGTGATCCTCCTGCCTCAGCCTCCCAAAGTGCTGGGATTACAGGCTGAGATGACACTCCTGGCCCCGGGAAAAACTTCTCACTTCATGAACATGAAATATTTGACCCCAATTTCCGTCTTCAGTGAGGATTTCTTTGGAGAATCCTTGGCTATATTTTAGCTTTAATTCAGACGGTGCTGGAATCATGACTCAATCTGTGCCTTTGAGTTCTCTCTGCAGTGCTGGCTTTCTGAGGAAAGGGCAGTGACTGCAAACATTTTTCCAGCTCTAATAATCACCACTTCCATATACCTACTATTTAGAGTAGGCTCTTTTCCAAGTGCTTTATGCCTATTAGTTTATTTACTTCTCATGAAAGCCCTGAGAGGAAGGTGCTGTCACTAAAGCCAACACCACTGTGGGGACACAGGCATCCAGAGGCCAGGCAACCATGAAACCGTCTTTGCAAAATTATGACTGAGACAGTGAAAGAGATCTAACTTAACCGACTCCATCTTGCTTCTAACCGCCAAGCTGTCCTTGTGCGTTCCTGGGCATAAACGGAACTAACTTTGGGAGAAACTTACTTTATAGTTGATATCTTAAAACAAAGATGATAACAGCCCTTTCCCAAAGCAGCCCTCCTTCTTGCCTGGGGACTAGATTGCCTTTGTAGGACTCACATGAGCCACAAGATTAGAAATGATGGTTTAGGAGTCATGCAGCTGGAGGCTACAGGATTCTGATTCTCCGTGAACTGCTCCTAAGATCAGGGCTGGAGATATGTTGCAGCCCTGCACTTAATGGATCGGCTGGCACCACTCGGATGGATTAACTGGCTCATCTGATGTTGTGGCTCCCACCAAGGAACTGACTCAGAGCAAAAATACAGCTTTGACTCCCTATGATTTCATCCCGGACCAATCAGCACCCCTGGCTCACTGGCTTTCCCCCATCCACCAAGTTGACCTTAGAAACTCTGCGCCCAGAATGCTCGGGGAGACAGATTTGAGTAATAATAAAACTCCGGTCTCCCGCACAGTCGGCTCTGCATGAATTACTCTTTGTCTGTTGCAATTCCCCTGTCTTGATGAATTGGCTCTGTCTAGGCAGCAGACAAGGTGAATCCCTTGGGTGGTTGCAACTGGCCCATAACTCATGAGCAGCGAAGCTGGCTAGCCCCCCAGGCAGCTGGCTCTGACCACTACGCTTCCCCATAGAGTCGGTGTGTGGCCATCGGTGCACACAAGTCACATGAAAGCCCATGTTTCCCAATGATTTCAACACAACAAATACTGTGTTGGTAGAAAAGCAATAGTTCTCCCCTCAGTAGCAGAGTGAACCTTCTCATTCTGAATATGTCCATTTCTTCAATAACCACAAGAGGTATCTTGTGCCAGGCACTGTTCTAGAAACACATTGATATTCTTTTTTTTTTTTTTTTTTTTTTTTTTCAGAAGCCTGTTGGAGTTTATGGTTTCATTTGCCCAAAAACACACATTTGGGGACCTCAAATTCTTTCTAAGAATCACTACCACACATATTAATTTGAACATTCCCATCCTTCCACCATCTCCGTTTCTCCTGGGAACATCGAAATAAAAATGGCCCACTCTGGGTCCTCGTCTAGGGCTGTTTCTTCTTCTCTGGGGGCTACAGCTCTGATGTGAATGATGGTGTCTGTCTTTCCAGCGCTGGGCCTCTGGTGGGCTGCACCACGTGATTGCATAGCACGAGTTGTGTTTCTGGGCAGTTTTAGGGAAGGCTTTAGACTGCATTCCCAGCACCTCGGATTTGGACACCAACCCATCTAGCTTCTCACCTTGCTCAAACAAAGACTCCGAGGTGTTGTGCAGAATGATTTGGGTCTCATCTGGTTTGGCCTGCACATTAGTCATGGGGTCAGCTTCCCGTGGGTTCTGGTATCTACTGAGATGACCATCCAGGGCTGCAGAATGGATTGTAGCAGGGGATCCTCCTGGAGCCTGTTGACTTGCTTGGAGAATTCATCTAGTAAGTACTCCAGCAAGGTACAGGCCACCTGGGATGGGCGTTCACTGTCAGCAATGGCCACACCTGCAAGACCGTCGTTCCGGACATGGACATGGCACAGGTAGTCTTGTTCTTTGACTGATGCTCTAGTGCCTTTGCATGAGCCCTCCACAGTCAGTTGACTCATGAAGGTCATGACTTCTTGAACACTGGACCTCTGGGAGAAACTGAAGGAAGCCACATTATCGTAGGTGGCTTTGGGCGGCACTGCCTTGGGCTCACCTTCGTAGAGGACACTGAGGCTGCCCAGCTTCATAGCTCTGCGCCCCACCTGTCCAGCTGCGTAACCGCTTTCAGGGAGTAGCGCCGCCCCTTGGGACTGCCGCTGCCTACCGGCCTCTCAGCCCCTGGCTGCTGACGGGGTCACCGCTGGCTTCCTCCTCCTGGCTCGGGATCTACCCACATTGGTATTAATGGTAGATGTATACACAAGGCATGGAAGCTACTCAAAACACACAAAGATGCCTGCCTCCTGGAGGGGACGTAGCTCAGGCCAGCAGGTGACAGGCCCTTGTATAAGAAACTAAGAGCTTTGGCTGGGCGCGGTGGCTCACGCCTGTAATCCCAGCACTTTGGGAGGCCGAGGCAGGTGGATCACGAGGTCAAGAGATCAAGACCATCCTGGTCACCATGGTGAAACCCCGTCTCTACTAAAAATGCAAAAAAAAAGTTAGCTGGGCATGGTGGCATGTGCCTGTAATCCCAGCTACTCAAGAGGCTGAGGCAGAATTGCCTGAACCCAGGAGATGGAGGTTGCGGTGAGCAGAGATCACGCCGTTGCACTCCAGCCTGGGTAACAAGAACGAAACTCCATCTCCAAACAAAAAACAAAAAACATGGTGAAACCCCATCTCTACTAAAAATACAAAAAATTAGCTGGGCATGGTGGCGCGTGCCTGTAATCCCAGCTACTCAGGAGGCTGAGGCAGGAGAATTGCCTGAACCCAGGAGGCGGAGGTTGCGGTGAGCAGAGATCACACCATTGCACTCCAGCCTGGGTAACAAGAGCGAAACTCTATCTCAAAAAAAAAAAAAAAAAAGAAACTAAGAGCTTTAGAGAGGCCCTGCCCAGGCAATCAGGTATAATTGTAACAGAGAAGCTGCACTTCAGTCTCTCAGCCAAAACCTCTCTTGGGTGCCTTTCATTTGATTCCAGCTGTCCTGTCTTCCTGGATCCCAGTGGGCTACGCTGTCTTCCCAAGTTACTCCATCTCCTGATCCTAGCACCAGGCACGGTGCATCCATCCATCCACTAAATTTTTCCAATCACTCGTCCAATCACCGGTTATTGAGTTCCTCCTTGGTGACAGGCACTGTACTGGCTGGTAGAGAGACACAGGTAAACAAGGCAGCCGGCTGCCTGTGAGCCAGCTCTGGGACATTCAGGTAAGAAGCACCGTGTGTGCATGAAGCAGTCAATTAAGTTTGATGACATACTCTCTATTTGGATTGAAAGACAGAAATTGGGCTGGGCTTGGTGGCTTACGCCTGTAATTCCGGAAGTTTAGGAGGCCGAGTAGGGAGGACTGCTTGGACCCATGAATTTGAGACTAGTCTTGGCAATACAGTGAGATCTATTCTCTACAAAAGAGAAAAAACAAGTAGCTGTGCATGGTGACATGCACCTGAGGTGGGATCACTTGAGCCCGTGAGGTCGAGGCTGCAGTGAGCTGTGATCATGCCCCTGCATTCCAGCCTGGGTGACAGAGCGAGGCTCTGCTTAAAAAACAAAAAATTGAACAAATATTGGGTAACACCTTTAAAAAGAGTGTCTTTGCACAATTGTGTCCGGTTTCTCTGGGTTTCTTCCCATTAGATAGAAGAATGTTAGAGTAGGAAGAGGATTTGTGAGGTCATCCAGCCAGCCTCCTGGCTGCTTTACAGAAACTTGAAAATGATCTCGGATTGAGAACTTACTCCTTAGATGTTTCGGAGACACAACCTGTGCACAAGCAGACTTGTTGTTGTCTAAATTTACCACTGGTAGAATATACTACTATCTCTAACCAATTTTTCTACACCCCACTCCACCCCACCCCAATCACTTTTGTTTCTTTTGACACGGAGTCTCGCTCTGTTGCCCAGGCTGGAGTGCAATGGTACGATCTCGGCTCACTGCAACCTCTGCCTCCTGGGTTCAAGTGATTCTCCCACCTCAGCCCCCTGAGTAGCTGGGATTACAGGCATCTGCCACCTGCCCACCTAATTTTTGTATTTTTAGTAGAGACAGAGTTTCGCCTTGTTGGCCAGGCTGGGCTTGAACTCCTGGCCTCGTGTGATCCACCTGCCTCGGCCTCCCAAAGTGCTGGGATTATGGACGTGAGCCACTGCACCTGGCCCCCAATCACTTTTAATGTAGGCAAGTTCGTGTGAGCTCTGAAATACACAGTAATGTGTTGCTTTGCCTTGGGGATATGTTCTGAGGAGTTTGTTGTTAGGTAATTGCATAGTTTGGAAACTTGGAAACATCATAGAGTGTATTTACACAAACCTAGATGGTGTCGCCCACCACACCCCTAGGCTAAATGGTAGAGCCTACTGCTCACAGGCTACAGACCTGCACAGCAAGTTACCTGCTGAATACTGCCAGCAGTTGTAGCACAATGGGAAGTATTTATGCCTCCAAACAGAGCTAAACATAGAAAAGGTACAGCATAAATATGGTGATATAATCTTATGGGACCACATCAAGAAATGACTGGCAAAGTTCACATAAAAATGCCCTGGTGATTATGCGTGACTTGACCTGCGATAACTATTGGCTACCACAGTTCATAATTCAGATGGGCAATTTGATGTAGTTGTTAATGGTCTGCCATAAAAAAGAGTCATCATCCTAACAGCTCCAAAGCTATTTCCAGAACTGATCCTTATCCTAGCAGTTGTAACCCAACACGCCCACAGGGATCCTCAGTGAAAGGCAAAGTTAGAAGCTGTGGCAAGCTCTCTACTAGTTTCAATCACACTGATCTAAGAGGAATCCTCTTAATGGAAATCTGGTGGGCAAAACCACAGATGTTCTCTTTTCCCTGAGCAATAATATAGCTTTTAGGTATTATGTGCTTTATAGCCCATACCTCCTGGCTATGCTTTGCCCTAGAGATGGGGAAACACAGTGGGAGAGAAGAAGAAGAGGAGGGGGCAGGAAGGGGGAGGGGAGGAGGAGGAAAGAGGGAGGGGAAGTGGGCTGAGGAGGAGGGAAGGAAGGGGGAGGGGAGATGGAGAAGAGAGAGGGGAAGTGGAGAAGGAGGTTGAGGAGAGGGAGAAGGATGAAGGAAAGGAGAGGGACAGGAGGGAAGGAGGAGAGGGAGGGGCTTCAAACGACCTTCAATGCACACAGAATGGTCCTCTGCTTCTATTTCTTTGAACCAATAATTTAATTGAAAAAGAATTTTAAGGCCCAGGGCAGTGGCTCATGCCTGTAATCCCAGCATTCTGGGAGGCCAAGGCAGATGGATCACTTGTGATCAGGAGTTTGAGACCAGCCTAGCTAACCTGGCAAAACCCCATCTACTAAAAATACAAAATTGTACTGGGGAGGCTGAGGCAGGAGAATCACTTGAACACAGAAGGCAGAGGTTGCAGTGAGCCAAGATCATACCACTGCACTAGCCTGGGCAACAGAGGAAGACTGCCTCAAAAACAAACAAACAAACAAAAACCGAAAAAGATATTTGTGACTGCATATATTACCTACCCACCAAGCCACCCACCCACCCACCCACCTACCCTCCTACCCACCCACCTACCCACCTGCCCTCCTACCCTCCTACCCACCCACCTACCCACCTGCCCACCTATCTATCTATCTGATGACTTTCTTTTCTTTCCAGGACGTGTGGTGTTGTAGAAGAAATAATAGCTCAGTGGCACAAAGGATCAGAGAAATTCACACCTGAGACGTGGGAATCAACTACAAAGACAAAGATGGTTCATCTCTTCCCAGAGAATATTCTCCTTCATGCAAGAACCTAGGTATATCATGCGACACTTGATAGCAGCCCTGAGAACTGGCATGTCCTGCAACCCTGTCAGAGGTGTGGTCATTTCCCACACATCTAAGGGGAAACGAATTATCATTCCCATCTTGACTGACTCATTTAACAGGATAAGAAGCTCATATCTCAAGTAAGAGCTGGACCATGAGACCATGCATCTTAGTCTATTTGGCTGCTATAACAAAATACCTTAGACCGGGTCATTTATTTTATTTTGTTTATTTATTTTTTGAGATCGAGTCTCACTCTGTTGCCCATACTGGAGTGCAGTGGTGCAGTCCTGGCTCACTGCAACCTCCGCCTCCCGAGTTCAAGCTATTCTCCTGCCTCAGCTGGGATTACAGGTATATGCCACCATGCCAGGCTAATTTTTGTATTTTTAGTAGAGATGGGGTTTCACTATGTTGGTCAGGCTGGTCTCAAACTCCTGACCTCGTGATCCACCTGCCTCGGCCCCTCAAAGTGCTGGGATTACCAGGCGAGAGCCACCTCGCCTCGCCAGACTGGGTCATTTATAAACAACAGAAATTTGTTGCTCACAGTTCTGAGACTGGAAGTCCAAGATCAAGGTGCCAGTGGATTTGGTGTTTGGTGAGGGTGCTCTGCTCCATGGATGGCATGTTGTAGCTGTGTCATCACGTTGCCCAAGTGTCTTTTAGAAGGACTGTAATCTCATTCACAAGGGTGGAGCCCTCATGACTTAATCATTTCTCGAAGGCCCGGGCTCTTAATACTATCACATTGGGTATTAGGTTCCACCTATGCATTTTGAGAAACACCAGCATTCAGACCATAACAGCACGGTCCCTCCGCTGCTAGATAAACAAACTGAGGCATAGCCATATAATGTAATGGTCTCAGCAATAAAAGCAATGAATGAATATCAAAACAATTTTGTTGAGTACAAGAAGCCAGACAGAAAAAGCGTATACATAGCATGGTTTAACTTCCGCAAAATTTTAGGCAATGCAAACACACCTACAGTGACAGCAAAGCAGTGGTTGCCGAGGGTTGGCAGGGTAGGTGTGGATTACAAACAGGCATGAGAAAACTTTTCGTTTATTTGTTTGTTTTCGAGATGGAATCTTGCTTTGAGGGTGGAGTGCAGTGGTGTGATCTCGGCTCACTGCAACCTCCACCTCCCGGTTCAAGTGATTCTCATGCCTCAGCCTCCTGAGTAGCTGGGATTACAGGGGTGCACCGCCATGCCCAGCTAATTTTTTCTTTTTTAAATTTTTACTACAGGTGGGATTTCACCATGTTGGCTAGGCTGGTCTTAAACTCCTGACCTCAAGTGATCTGCCCCCCTTGGCCTCCCAAGGTGCTGGGATTACAGGTGTGAGCCACTGTGCCTGGCCAGAAAACTCTTGAGGGTGATGGATATGTTTATTATCTTGATTGTGGTGTTGGGGACATGGGTGCATATATCCAAACTTATCAAATTGTATGCCTTAAATATGTGGTGTTTATTTAATTTATTTATTTATTTTTGAGACAGGGTCTCGCTCTGTTGCAGCTGTAGTACAGTGGTCTAAAGAAGTCTCACTGCAGCCTTGACCTCCTGGACTCAAGCAATCCTCCTGCCTCGGTCTCCCAAGTAGCTGAGAACATAAGTGCACACCACCATGCTTGGCTAATTAAATATTTTTTTTGGTATAGATGGGATTCTATCCTGTTGTCCAGGCTGGCCTTGAACTCCTGGGCTCTAGCGATCTGCCTGCCTTGGCCTCCCCAAGGCTGGGGTTACAGGCATGAGCCACGGTGCTTGGCCCTGTGCTGTTTATTGTGTACCAGTTGTACCTCAACAAAGATGAACAAACAAAAAGAATATCTAAGCTGGGCCCGATGCTTATACCCATAATCCTACATTTTGGGAAGTTGAGGTTGGAGAATCATTTGAGGCCAGGAGTTCGAGACTAGCATGGGCAAGATAATGAGACCTCATCTCTACCAATAACTAACTAACCAACTAACCAACTAACCAACTAACTAACTAACTAACTAACCAACTAACTAACTAACTTAGCTAGACATGGCAGCACATGCCTGTAGTCTCAGCTACTCAGGAGGCAGAGGATGGCTTGAGCCTAGCAGGTTGAAGCCACAGTGCCTCTGCACTCCAGCCTGGGTAACAGCATGACTTTGACTCAGAAAACAATCAAACAAAAAGAATGTCACGTCTGGGTTCGGTGGCTCACCTATAATTTCAGCACTTTGGGAGGCTGAGGTGGTGCAGATCAAGAGGTCAGGAAATCGAGACCATCCTGGCCAACATACTGAAACCCTGTCTCTACTAAAATACAAAAAAAAAAAAAAAAAAAAAAAAAATTAGCTGGGCTTGGTGGTGCGCGCCTGTAGTCCTAGCTACTCAGTGGGCTGAGGCAGGGGAATCCCTTGAACCAGGGAGGTGGAGGTTGCAGTGAGCTGAGATCACACCACTGCACTCCAGCCTGGAGACAGAGTGAGACTCCATCTTAAAAAAAAATGTCAAAAGGAGGGCGATCTACAATAATTCTTAATGAGAAGATGGGAAATGACTATGAAAAGCTTTCGGACCATGTAGACACTCACCAGTTCTTTCATGGATAAGTCTTTCAAAACAGCTGCTGAACTTAAAGGCAGTTCTACAGACTTTTGTTATGTAAAAAGATGGTGTTTCAAATTTGCTGACATTTTTCTGACACGGCAAGTTGTTCTCAGGATACGATTTCTGGCAGAATTTTTTTTTTGAGACGGAGTTTCACTCTTGTCACCCAGGCTGGAGTGCAATGGCATGATCTTGGTTCACTGTAACCTCCGCCTCCCGGGTTCTAGTGATTCTCCTGCCTCATCCTCCTGAGTAGCTGGGATTATAGGCTTGTGCCACCATGTCCAGCAAATTTTGTATTTTTAGTAGAGACATGGTTTCACCATGTTGACCAGGCTGGTCTCGAACTTCTGACCTCAGGTGATCCACTCTAAAGTGCTGGGCCATTGCACCCGGCCACAGATATTTTTGAAAACAAAAATAAAAACAAATACATAATCTGATTCCTCATGGTTAGAGGAGATATTCTAAAATTGAGTATGCCAGCAACTATTTTTTAAAAGAAAATTTCAAAAGGATTTTAAAAACAGATGTTTGGAACTATTTCTATTATTATGTGATTTTGTTACTAAAAATGATGTGTGTCACTTTAAAAAAAAAATCATACTTGGCTAGGTGAAGTGGCTCACACCTGCAATCCCAGCACTTTGGGAGGCCGAGTTGGGTGGATCACCTAAGGTCGGGAGTTTAAGACCAGCCTGGACAACATGGCGAAACCCCATCTCTACTAAAAATACAAAAATTAGCCAGGAGTGGTGGCACACACCTGTAATCCCAGGAGGCTGAGGTAGAAGACTTGCTCCAACCCAGGAGGCAAAGGTTGCAGTGAGCCAAGATTGTGCCACTGCATTCCAACCTGGGTGACAGAATGAGACTCCATCTCAAAAAAAAAAAAAAAAAAATTTCATATTTTTCCACTTCAAAACTTGGGAGCCCATACATATATATACCTACTGTATACCTGTGGGAAGTAGAAAAGTTCCTTTTGAAAGTTTCCTTTCTTGTTAAAGAATAAGTGTGCTAATAACTTGGTGAAGCCCTAGCCTATGTAGCTGTTAGGCATGCCACGCTTACAGGCATGTAGTACATTCTATGTCCTTGTACTTTAATGAAGACATTTGTGCTGGATGTGCTCACAGGCATGTCCCAGCTCTCCATTGCTTTTACCTGTTTAAAAAAGTTTTATGTTGTTAGCCAATCAGGTTTTAGTTTAGATTGTGACGTCTGGCTCCAGCCAATGGAGATCAGACACAGCAGTAAGGACAACCCCAAATGAGTAAAGGATAAATGTGTGTTTTCCTTTGTTCTTTGTACTCTCATGGCACAATGGCTAGTGAGGCCCTTCCTGCAGTCCAGGAAGTAAAAATTGTGTTGCTGAAAGTTCCTTTGTCTCAGTGCTAATTTTTCTTTGCAGCACCAAGCATCTATTTCCAATAGTACCCATAAGAATTATTTTAAAAGTTGGAACCAGAATCTTCTAACTTGCTTAAAATGTTTCAAATTAAATTTTCAGGCTTTCCAACCATTTATTAAAATTGTCAAAATGGAACAGCCTCTGATTATTTTTCAAGAACAACTGATTGGATCTTTAGGATTTATACTTGCTAGTGAATTTCAACTTCTGTGTAATTGGTGAGTGAGACTAATAAATATTTTAATTTAATAAACACAGTATCTTTTTTCCATTTGCCTGTCCTTACCTTTGTGAGATGCCTTTTTCAGGTAAGATACTCATGAAAACAAAGTAATGAAATAACATGAACTTAATACCAGACCTTCAAATTGCCCTATCATAAAGTATTAAATCAATATTTAAAAAAATTATGCAAAACTGAAAATCATATTGCTCTCGCTAAAATATAACACAATCTATATATGTATAATACAGATTATATATTATATGTACATACAATGTTACTGTTCTTAATGAGGACAAAATGTTTTTTGGTACCATTCAAAAATAAAGTAAAGCAAGCATTATTTTAGAAAACCCACTAATGTACTACTAAGGGTATAAGATGAAAACTGTGGTATACTCTATTCTAGTGATGTTTCCGAAGATGCCGTAATTCTTTAGATATTGGGGTGTTAACCATCCCCCCACTACCAGTGACTATGAATTCATGGGAACTGGCTGGGCTTAATGCCTGAACCCAGTCTTGTTTGAAAGGTACTTAATGGAGTTTATATAGACAAATTCAGTGTGCTATCTTGGTTCTATTGGAATGGTCTCAGGTCTATAGAATGTGTAAAGCAAGCAGTAATCACATTTGGATGTTGTATCAGAACTCGTGGTTATAATATGGTTTAATGTAATGACCTCCAACAGTAGAGCAACACTCATGATGACTGTAAATTATTAATCAAGTCAATGTGGACTGCGAAGCACAGGTCCCAGAAGCAGCTGACCAAGCAAGTTTTATTATAGAGGATAGCACCCTGGCTATCCTTGAGCCATAACAAGAGCCATAAAAAACCCTCTGTATAGGCTAATTCAAGGAGGGCACAATGATGTAGGGGATGATTTTGCAACCTAACATTGACAAAGGTGAGAAGCCAGAGTAAAACTGCTGTGACGCACTTAGAGAGCTTCTGGACTTTGGCTGGACCTTCAGGCCACCCGGGGCACTAGTATTTAAATAAACAAATAAAAACTCTTCAAGGTATTCCAATATGCAGCCACGATGGAGAACCACTTTTAAACCATAACTGTCATTGCATTTGCTTCACTTTCACTTCTGGACGTTATAGAGAAACTTGTACGCGACTTGCCCTCTGCTAAAATCAACTTTAAAAGTGGACAGAATATATGCATCAACTGTTTTGAGGCACTGATAACAGGCAATGCTGGACGAGGATCCTGAGATACGGGAAACACAAGACGAGCCCCGTCATCACCTGGCTTTCTGCCTGCTGTAGCACAGGGAAGTGAGAGCCACGCTGAGGAGTGACTTTACTGAGATGAAGAGGCAGAATTTGGGATTTGGGGCTGCTGAAGTAGCTGAAGTTTGCAGAACAGGGTACTAGAAAGAAGGGATTTGTGCAGGCCAATGGGGTCAGAAGTTTGCATGGGAAGTCGTTATGTGAATCCTTAACTAGCGTCTAGGCTGTGATTGTCCAAGGCATGAGGCCTGTTGTGGGGCTGAGAGCTGCACAGTGATACTAGAACTTGTACGTTCTTGGGAGATGTTAGCACTCTGGCCTAACCTGAACTGACGTCTTACTGAACACCCTGGGCATTCAGGTGAGACCTAGAAAGGCTATGCCTTGGGAGTAAGGACTGTGCCATAAAGTAAGAACAATACTTGAGGACTAAGCTTTAAACCAGAATAGATTTCTCCCAAACAAAGATTCATACCAGCCTAACCTGATCAAAAGGCTGTAAGAGTAATTTAAATGCCTGCCAGAACAAAACTCAACATCTTATACAGGAAGATTGCATAATTCAAATTTCCCACGTCATATCATTCACAGTGTCCGCCATACAATAACAAATCAGTAGACATGCAAAGAAGCAGAAAAATGTAACCCATGATCAAGGAAAAAAGCTATCAATAACATCTAGATCCAATTGGTCTAGATGTTGAACTTGGCAAAGAAAGACTGAGCAACTAATATAAAAATATCCAAAGACTTAAAGAAAAAGATCATCCTTGTAAGATCAATAAGGAGTCTCAGTAGAGAAATGGGACTATAAAAAAGAAACAATAGAAACACTAAAATGAAAAAATAAAATATGTTAAATAAAAGTTTCACTGCTGTTCTCACTCATAGGCAGGTGCTGAACAATGAGAACACAGGGACACAGGGAGGGGACCATCACACACCGGGGTCTGTTGAGGGGGGCCAAGGGAGGGACAGCAGTAAGGTGGGGAGGTGGGGGAGGGATAACATGGGGAGAAATGCCAGATGTAGGTGATGGGGGGATGGAGGCAGCAAACCACATTGCCATGTGTGTACCTCTGCAGGAATCCTGCATGATCTGTACATGTACCCCAGAACCTAAAGTACAATTTTAAAAAAAGGGAAGAAAAAAAAGTTTCACTGCTTAGCAACAGACTGCAGAAGGGTTAGTGAGTCTAAAATAAAGCAATAGAAATGATCAGATTTGAAGAATAAGAAGAACAAATGAGCAGAGGTTTGGTGACCTGTCGGGAAATTTCAAGTTGTCTGAATCATATGTAATTAGAATCCCAGTAGATGAAGAGAAAGAGAATGGCAGAAAAATTGTTTAAAGAAATAACAGCCTTGATCCCTCAAATTTACTGATAAACATCAGTTTACAGATACAGGAAGCTCAGAGAACCCTAAACAAGGGAACAAGAGAACTACACCTCAGTATATGATAGTCTATTTTATTTTATTTTTTTCAGACAGGGTCTCACTCTGTTGCCCAGGCTGGAATGCAGCGGCGTGATCATAGCTCACTATAGGCTAGACCTCCGAGGCTCAGGTGATCCTCCCATCTCAGCCTCCTGTAAGGCTGGGACCACAGGGGCACACCACCATGCCTGGCTAATTTTTAAACATTTTGTAGAGACAAGGTCTCATTACGTTGTCCAAGCGGGTCTCAAACTCCTGGCCTCAAGTGATCCTCCCACCGTGCCTCCCAAAGTGTTGGAATTACAAGCGTGAGCCACGGTGCCCAGCTGAGAGTCAGATTTATATTATAGAACACCAGTTCAACAGTTGCAGAATCACACCGTCCATGCGAGCAGCACCAGGGAAGGAACACCACAATCACAACCACAGGGAAACCCAGCTTTTCCGATGATGACAACCACCCAGGTACCTGTTAAAATGCAAGTCTCTCGCCTGCATCCCAAGCCCACTGATCAGAGTCACAGGAGGAGCTGAGTGGTTAACACGCAACCAGATCGTTCTCACTCTGGGGAAGTCAGGAAGCTGCCGGAATTCCCTTTACTGAGGAGTGGCTGGCTGGCGATTGTCTTGGAAAATAAGAAAGGTGGTGTTTGCTCAGTGTGATGAATTTAAAAATATTCTGTTAAATAGTATTCGCTTTGTTTTTTAATGTTTCAGAAATTGGTATCAGTGAGTAGACAAAAGGATTGCCCCGGCAAAACTTCATTTAGTTGGTGGAGATCCACGGTGATAATTATGTAGTCATAATTTGTGAAAGCCCAGTACGCTAAAATCAATCCATTTTCGGTGGAATGTTCTAATTCATGCCTCTTATCCAGTAAATTTACATAAGCATTTTAACAAAGTAGAAACTCTTCCTTTTGTCAAAAATAGACAGATGCCCACAGCACTATGATTTTGTGACCAGCTGCCCCACATGAGAAGGGCTGTATTTTCCTGTTGTTATTTATGCGAATCTTTAGAAGTCAAACTATCATTCTTTTTTTCTTGAGACGGAGTTTCACTGTTGTTGCCCAGGCTGGAGTGCAATGTCATGATATCGGCTCACTGCCACCTCTGCCTCCCAAGTTCAGGTGATTCTCTCGCCTCAGCCTCCCAAGCAGTTGGAATTACAGGCATGTGCCACCACGCCCAGGTAATTTTTGTATTTTTAGTAGAGACAGGGTTTTGCCATGTTGGCCAGGCTCGTCTTAAACTCCTAGCCTCAGGTGACCTTGGCCTCCCAAAGTGCTGAGATTACAGGCATGAGCCACCATGCCCAGCCACACTATCATTCTTAAGAAACAATACCTTTAAAAATATAATCAGGTTAGGTGTGGTGGCTCATGCCTGTAGTCCCAGCACTTTGGGAGGCTAAGGCAGGTGGATCACTTGAGATCAGAAGTTTGAGACCAGCCTGGTCAACATGGTGAAACCCTGTTTCCACTAAAAATACAAAAAAATTAGCCAGGTGTGGTGGCACTTGCTTGTAATCCCAGTTACTCAGGAGACTGAGGCAGGAGAATTGCTTGAACTGAGGAGATGGAGGTTGTGGTGAGCTGGGCCACTGTACTCTAGCCTGGCGACAGAGCAAGACTGTCTCAAAAAAAAAAAAAAATTCAGATTTCATTCCGGTGAACCCAATGTGACCAGAATGGGAAATCACATTCGAGCTAGAGCTATAGTGCTCTTTCAGCTCTCCGAAGGGAATCACTAAACCATTTCTGTCTGGGAAGATAATAGCAGGAGGTAGCGAGACGATCATTAAATGACTATTGAAGCTCTTATTACAACCATGATGTCACTCTCTCCTGGTAGATTTCTGCATTCATTGCATCTCATATTTTTTAGCTTCAGAGTAATTTGCTTGTAATTGCTAAGGTTGTCTGGGTTTTAGGTATCAGAAACCAACTCTAATTATTTTGAATGAAAAGGCAATTTACTGGAAGTCAGCCCACACATTTCAAGGCATTTGAACAATTGTGCTTAAGAAAAGGGCAGGACCTAGGAAGGCACTAGAGACCTGGACAATCGCGGGCCTTTTCTTTAGTGTGCTGCTGTTAATGTGACTTGTATCAACAATTGCCATTCTGTTTCTTTCTTTCTCTCTTCAAAATCCCAGCTTCCTCTGTGAGGGGATGTGACTTGTTTACCTTGGGTCACTTGTCCTTTTACGGGGCACAGGATTTCATGGCTGCAACATGCTTGTTAATTGGGGTGGGAAAGTTTTGGGTTCATCCTCTTCATTCTCTCTCTGGACCCCAGTGATACTAATGGTTTCTGCTCTCCCGTCATTTAACTCACATTCAATTTTTTATTTCTGGTTGGGCGTGGTGGCTCAGTAATTCCAGCACTTTGGGAGGCCGAGGCAGGCAGATTGCTTGAGCCCAGGATTCAAGACCAGCCTGGGAAGCATGGTGAAACCCCATCTCTAAAGAAAAACAAAGAGATCCAAGATGGCCGACCACTAACAGCTCAGGATTGTAGCTCCCAGTGAAAGCTCAGAGAACGAGACGACGCCACAGCATTAGACGAATTTTCGTCACTCACCGATTAGCCGATTCCCAGTGGAGGAGCCCCACGGGTCGCCAGCGCGACTCTTGTGGCTGCCGCAGCGGTTTTGCCGGCGTCTCGGCGCAGCAGCTCTTCACGCAGAGCCAACGGGACTGCTTCCCCTGCTGACCGGAGTTTGGAGCTCCAGGAAGTCAGAGCCGCTTGTTGCGGACTCAAGAGGGAAGCCAGACCAGAGATTCCCGGGCAGAAGAGCACCATCAGTCTTATCGCTGCTATTTAGGCTGCCACAGTGGGTTGCTCGGATCCCAGCACTGGGAACCAATAAGTCGGACGTCGACTCAGAAAACTAATTAGAAAGGCGGTTCATTTACAATGAAGGGAAAAAAACAGCCTAAGAAGGCCGAGCATACTCAAAATCAGAACCCATCAGCAACGGAACAAGCCCTGATGGAAAAGGACTCATCAGCAACCGAACAAGCCCTGATGGAAGAGGACTCATCAGTAACGGAACAAGCCCTGATGGAAAAGGACTGTGTTCCATTATCTGAAGTAGGCTTTAAAAGGTGGATGATAAGAAACTTCTGGGAGTTAAAGGAACTTGTTCTAACCCAATGTAAAGAAACTAAGAACTTGGAAAAAAGATTAGATGAAATGTTGAAAAGAATAGACAATATAGAGAGGAATACAAATGAACTTATGGAGTTGAAAAATACAACACGAGAACTCAGTGAAATATGTACAAGCTTAAACAGCCGAATGGATCAAGCAGAAGAAAGGGTATCAGAGGTCGAAGATCAACTTAATGAAACAAAACAACAAGACAAGAATAGAGAAAAAAGGATGAAAAGGAATGAGCAAAGTCTCCAAGCAATATGGGACTATGTGAAAAGACCTAATATACGCTTGATTGGTGTACCTGAATGTGAGGGAGAGAATGAAGTCAAGCTGGAAAATACTCTCCAGGACATTATCCAGGAAAATTTTCCTAATTTAGCAAAGCAGGACACTATTCAACCCCAGGCAATACAGAGAACACCACAAAGATATTCCTCAAGAAGACCAACCCCAAGGCACATAATCATTAGATTCACCAAGATCGAAACGAAGGAGAAAATATTAAGGGCAGCCAGAGAGAAAGATCAAGTCACCCATAAAGGTAAGCCTATTAGGCTTACAGCAGATCTCTCAACGGAAACCCTACAAGCTAGAAGAGAGTGGGGGCCAATATTCAATATACTTAATCAACAGAACTTTCAGCCCAGAATTTCATATCCTGCCAATTTAAGCTTTACATTTGAAGGAAAAATAAAATCTTTTAGGAACAAGCAAGTACTCAGAGATTTTATTACCACCAGGCCTGCTTTACAAGAACTTCTAAAAGAAGCATTATACACAGAAAGGAACAACCAGTATGACCCTTTCTAAAAATACATCAAAAAGTAAAGAGCATTAACATAAAGAAGAATTTTTATCAACGAAAGGACAAAATAGCCAGTTAACAACAAATGGCAGCAACCCTAAATTTAAATCGACCAAATCTCCCAATCAAAAGATACAGACAAAATCTAACGGTATATCCAAAGATATACATAGACTGAAAATAAAGGGTTGGAAAAAAAAAAAAAAAAATGTACCAACCAAATGGAGAGCAAAAATAAATAAATAAGAAGCAGGAGTTGCAATTTTCACATTTGACAAAATAGATTTCAAAGCTACAAGGATACAAGGGTAAAAGGACTAATGTAATAATAAGAGATTTTAACACCCAGATACATAAGACCCATAATGAGATTTAGATTCAATGAGACAACAAATCGATAACGATACCCGGGACTGGAACTAAGATCCAGAACAAATAAACCCAATAGAGCTCTCCATGTTAAACACACAAAATATATATTATCCACAAAATCTAATGATATATCTG